GCCACGGCAGCCGCCCGCAACGGCTCGAGGTTTGGCGGTCACACTCTGGAACTGAAGAAGCACAGAGGTTGGGTCAAGGTTGGTAAGGATTTGCCATCCACATGGAGAACTTCCTAAAGCAACCATGCCCAGACCCTTGGCGACCAACACCCGACTGGCTCGATAGGCCGTGTAATGTCTCGAGTGCCGCCGAAGGCGCTTGGCACACCCGGGTCCGTTGACCGCCAAGCGGCGCCGAGGCATGGCGACCTGAGCGGAGGAAGCTTCTCTCGCCCCACGGAGGTCGCGCCGTGTTTGTCGGGATTTAGCAGCTGATAACTAGCCGGCCAGGATTCGCGGCTTGCGCTGAGTTACCCCTTCAACCCCAGTGTAGGTGTCTTGAGCCTGGCCCGAGTGTCCACCGGCTCTGGGACCAGGCTCAGCCAGGGCAGCCCAGCCAGCAGGTACCGCCCGGTGGCCAGACCGTTCAAACGAGCCGGCTGTTGTTTTTTGGTTGCTCCAGGGCGGCCTCGAAGGCGGGGGCCGAGGGAATAGGAAAAAGTCAGAAGCCTGCAGGCCGTCTTTCCGACGCTATCTTCGGAGTACTGTGTGCTACGAACAGCAGTACGCTTATCGGCGGCCGAGTCCGAGCCTTCGTACCCGAGCGGCTCGCCCAACCGAGGTGTCGCCATCTCGCCCAGGCTGTTGGGAAGCTTCATCTCCTTCCCGAACGGTACGCTGGGCATCTTGGCCTTGACAAACAAAATCGAAAAGTTCGGCCCACCGGTATGGATATGGTGTGGTCCACAAACAAGAATTTTTCTAGCTGTTTTTTTTTTTCGAAGCTCGCTTGCTCGACATCATCCATCTCATCTTATCTCGGGGTGAATACCTGGATTGGAACCCACAGTTTGGCTACCGGCATTTCTTGTGGTTACACACAAGAAGAGTTCGACCAAAAGAAATGGAGTTGTGACAGATGCGAGGTCCCCAATTAGAGAACCGAGAAACATTGCCGTCGTACCGCCCCACTTGACCATGTCGTATCGTGTATCCGATCCGGCAGCGCGTCGGTCTGGCTGCATTGCTGTTTCGGCCGGTGGAGGAATTCGGTGGTTGACTTTGAGGTGCCGTGAAATGTGGAGGGAAATCCCCCCATCTCCTTATTAATGTGGCTTGAAGAAAAGCCGGAAAACAAAGCCCATCGCCCCTGCCATATGGTCCGCCAAGCACGGCGTTGGCGGGGCACTTACACAGGAGTTACACCTGCCAAATTGGGAAGTATGGGCAGTCTGGCCGACGGCACCAGTAAAATTATCTGGGATAGATGGAGCAACCAGTTCCTGACTGTGTAACAGAACCTCTAACGAGCGTGCGACACAGAACGACACCTGCTGCCCGGTCCAATAAATCCTTGTTACCTGCCCTCACGGTACCCCAATGGCAAAGGATCTTTGGGATCCCATATGTACACCCGCCATAAACTTCGATCGACTGGATCGTAACGTGACGAGTGGCAACGTTTTGTACCGTGAAACTCCGAAGTTCCGCGGGGATAGGATATCAAACCCCCTCAATAACATGACGTCAAGCTATTCCTTCCTATGCAGCTCGGCTATCACTGCCGTACTCACGCAGCGTCCCGGGTACCTGCACTTGCTCAGGAAGAGACTTTTCGGATTTTGGTTGTCAACCAGTCAATCCGGTGTTCCATGTTGGAGGGCTTTGATATTGATGGGACCCGCACCCGTGGACCTTTTGGTTTCGTGGGGAATGTGGAGCGCTTGGCGCACTGCATCGCCCTGGGAAACCTCACCTCGCCGGAACCAATTTCCATAATTAAACCTAGGAACCCAAGAAAAGAATGAGAGAACCGAAAGCGAAAATATCTACCTTGGTGGCACGGATGTAGGCCCTTGTCTTTGGTTGGCAACTGACTTACGGAGTGCGATGAAGGACAGTCAACCACTACACCTGACCGAGACAAACGGTCACTTCTCGCTGGCTGCCACGGTTCGGGCCGAGAACATGACTTCCGATCCCGGCCGCTGAGTTTCTCGGGATGATGGACTATGGGGGCAACACCGCACGGCGATGCCGACGAGGTCCCTTAGACAGGGCACGGCATCAACACTCAGACATTAGAGTTGACTATTTCGACTTGTAGCTCGAGTGCAAATCTGGCTTGGCCCGGTATGTAATGGGGCTCATTACTTCTCTTACTAGGGCACCTGTTTGAGGTGCTTTTTAAAGGACGTTGGTCATAGGGATCACCGCCGCCGATGGAAGCTGAACTAATAAGACTCTCTTGTAGGTTAGTTAGTTATGCCCCTGCCCAAAATCGTTACCTCGACATTAAATCTCAACGACGCACACAATGCTGTGCTTGACTCCCGTATGCCCTTGCTTACTGATATACTGACTTGCGTCCCAAGACACCACCGACGGTGAGCCCAGTCTCAGGGCCAACTCCTCTTCTCATCCTGACTCGTCGGTAAACTGTTATTGTTCCGTCGAATCCAGTCACATAACGTGTTCGTTAGCTGTTCACTGTCGCCGAGGGAACGAGGCAAGGGTTAGGGTCACAACCATTGGAGGTGTACTGTGTAGATGCCAACGAAACCTTCGGCTGTAGGAACGAAAAGAAAGCCATTCAGGAACCCAAAGTCTATTCATTTTCTCTCCGTTTTCTTTATTTTATTTGTTTTTCTCGGTTTCTTTTACATCTTACTCCTTTCTCGATTTTTTGTTTACCCCTCGAGTTCGACTTCTTTTTTTGGCCAGGTGTCAGGCAAACATTAGGGTTCCCAATTCCATCGAACGCCCAAACCCTTAGGGCGCTCATGGACTGCTCGCAACCTTTAGACCCGGCCGCGCGCGACGAAGTGCGGCGAAAATTCTACCGCATTGTTGAATACTTTGACCACACTAGCGGCCCGGATTCTACTAAGTCGGTGGGTGGGAGCAGTCCTCGATACAACTGTGCCAAACTCATCCGTTTGACACACGACTACGCCATTTCGCCTGTTTCACAGGACACCTATCTACGGGCATTCTTTCGTGCTCTAGAGCTACCCATAGATATAGATGGTAGCGAAGATGTCGAGAGCGACTTGGACGAGAAGGCCCAGGCGAGGTTTCTCGGCTTTGCAGATTATTTACTGAACAATTTCTTTCTCCCTAGTAGGCCATCCTACCTTCCATTTATCTAGGCGTATGCTAATGAATCCCAGTCAAAGCATCCGCCCGCAAAACGTACCAGCCGCCCCCAGAGTTTCACTACGACACACCAAGTCCACAAGACGGCAACAGCTTTGTAGAGACCCCAGATCGGCTCTCAGCTCTAAACGATGCCTGCCTTATTCGCGACCGCCATCGCTGCGTCGTAACACGCAAGTTTGACTCGGACGAAGCCGAGACGCGGCTCAAGAGAGACGGCGAGAGCGCTCGAGATGACGATGGTGTTCCGTTCGAAGATGACCCGCGGCCGTTTTACCTCTTGAAAGTGGCCCATATTCTTCCAGGGTCCTTGGCGAGGTCCAAGAAGGGCACGGAACTGGTACGCCAAGTAAGGAAGCTGTTAATACAAGGTACATATGTTTAACCTCACTTAGAACCCCTCGAAGCAAGCCGCACTATCGATCCTCAACATGCTTGACGACGGAGTTGTCCACTTGATCGAAGGAGCCGACATCGACAAGCCCCGAAATGCCGTGACCCTTGACCACAATCTCCACCATTGGTTTAGCAACTTCGACATCTTCTTCGAGCCTGTTCCAGATGCCGACGACCATACCTACCGCATCGGCTTTTCCCTTCCTTCTATTCTCGTGAGGGGCATCCTCCCTGTCGTTCGCAAGCTCTATCTCACAGAGGAGCGCACAATCGAACCCCCTTCTCCCCGGCTGCTAGCAATCCACCGCGCAATTGCGCACATTTTACATTTGTCCGGGGCAAGCAATTATATTAATACAATCCTCAAGGATTTGGAAAAGGCTCAATGGCATTGCGCGGAGGCGGACGGGTCGACTGACCTGGGGCGGCTGGTGCATCTTGGACTCTGTCTGGACGGCACTATCAAAGCCCAGAGGTAGCGAGATACTGTCAGATGCCTCCTGGAGTACTGTTGGATATAATAAAAATTATATGAACTGTGATACGGGGATAGGAGGTATGTTTATGGCTCTTGACATTTCCATATCGCGTACACCGGGTAGAAACATATAGAAGGAGAAGAAGGAAGAGAAAGAGAAAGAAGAGAAAGAGAAGGAGAAAGATAAAAGAGAAACAAGGAAATGGGAGGGGAAAGAAGAGAAAGAGGCAGGGAATTTAGATCAAGAAAAAAAAAACGGTTAAAGAATTAAGCAAGACAAACAAAAAGTAGAGCCAACTCGGTCTTCCCCTCACAGGTGCTTGGATGGACATACCGCGGATCGAACGCGGGACCGTCTGTAATCAATGGGTCATTGCAAAACAGAAATCATACCACTAGACCATATGCCCGTAGACTCTTGTTAAGGATGTTTTCTCAGCCACTCGTTATCCGACCAGGGTGGGGGCAGCTGTGCCCTTGCCATTCCGTGAAAATAGGAGACTGTGACGGCATGTTCTAACCCTAACCCTGGCCGCAACCCGAGTGGTGGTCTGTGCGCCTCCCACCTGTGTTTTCCCACAGTTGTGCGAATCCTGTATCTTGATTCTTTTCTTTTCTTCTCTTTAGCTTTAGATTCACGTAATTGAGTGGGATCATTTGAGCCTTTGTGCCTCTATTCCTCGCTCGCTCGTCACAGAGACGAAGAAATGAAAGAGGAACTTATATTAGATATCTGTTATTATTTAAGATATTATAGTCTAATAATAAAACTTCTATTTCCCTTAGTAGGGAGTAAAGTAAGAAAGAACTCGGCTTGCATCTATCTCTCCCGAGCCCACTATCTTTTTCCCCACTACGAAGCTCGACAACCACACACATCCTTATAGTTTGGACTACTCCGCAAGTTATCATCCAACAAATCAAATAAGGTTTCGTAGCGCAATGGCAGCGCGTTGCTTTCCGGTTCTCCAGCTGGCAAAGGTTCTGGGTTCGAATCCCAGCGAGATCGATTCATTTTTCCGAGTTAATACAGCTTGGAAAATCTTTTTGATGGATCTTGCACATGCTTCTGCTGTTTCTCATCACCAAACAGTTCATTTTTTTGCTGCCTTGGTGGAGGGTAGAGAGTATTCCATGCCCCCTCAACCGCCATTACTAGGGGAGAAGTCAAGTGTAATAACCAAAGAATGGGATTAACTTCTCATTTCCTTTGATATATAGTCTTGTATTTCCCTCCCTCTAAGCATCGCCAAACTTCGATGAATGCCCATGATCGCTCGAGTGGCCCGCCCCTACCCCCCACGCGCCAGCTCACACACACTTCACACATACCCCCTCCACCAAAGACCAAGCAGCTCATGAATAGGTTTTACATTTGAACTCCCCTCCAAACTCATCTATGCCGCCGATGCAAAGTGAAGCAAAATCCCCACCCAAATGTCCATTTACTTACATGACGCGGCGAGGCCCCTCCTAGTATGTCTATCGACAAGAAGGCAGAACAGAAACGGGTGTTTTCTCCCCCCGAGCAAACACTATAGCCTCCCACCCCCGATTTCACCTCCTTCTCCAGAAACCAGAAGCCAGGGGAAACAAGAAAACCAGACCCCGGCCTCTTTTCTATCCCGTCTATTTTGGATGCGTCCGTTCTAAAGCCTCCCTTCCTTCCCTTCCAAGGGGGTTCAATTCCAAGCAAGGGTGCGTTCGTTCGTTCGTCCGATGAAGTTCAAGGAGCGAATACCTACCGCCAAACACTCTGGCGGGTGCTTATTGCGGAGTCGGCTCGTTCGCCCAGTTGTGCAGGCTAGAAACAGGCGAGTTAGCAAACAGACCCATTCCCCCCTTACCAGATTCACGGAGTGCAGCAAGAAACATACCTGATATCCTGCCGATTATTCGGATTCTCCATGCCGGCGTTCTTATCCTCCCCATTAACCAAATCCACATGGCCACCCTCCGCAGCAACAACCGACGCAGGCGCCACCGCAACCCCACCATCAACCAGCACGCGCTTAGCCGCGACGTTGACAGGCCCGCCGTTGCCAACCACAGTGGCCTGGAACGCCGCACCGGTAGAAGCCGTGGCGGCGCCCTCGGCCATCTTGCGCTTCTTGCCGCGGCTCTGGTTGAGGTGCTCGAAGTAGCCCTCGGGCACGGCGGTCTTGTACTTGCCGCAGAAGACGCCGACCTCGAAGTCCTCGACCTTGCCGTCGGGGGTGACCTCCATGCAGGCGGCCTTGAGGTCGTCCAGGTCCTGATAGATGACGTCGTCGGCGTTGATGTGCCGCGCGATGTCCTCGCGCGTCTTCTCGTGCGCGATCAGTTCCTGCGGCGTGGCGAGGTCGATGCCGTACTGGGGTGTGTTAGTCGGCGGGGTTTAAGCGGGAATGGTTGGGGTGGTTGGAGGGGAAACTCACGATATGGGGGTGCTTGATGGGTGGCGCACAGCTGGCAAAGATGACCTTGCGGGCGCCGGCCTCACGCGCCATGCTGACAATCTCCCTGCTGGTGGTGCCGCGCACGATGGAGTCGTCGACGAGGCACACGACGCGGCCGTTGAACTCGGACTCCATAGCGCTCAGCTTGCGGCGCACGCTCTTTTGGCGCGCCTTCTGGCCGGGCAGGATGAAGGTGCGGTAGACGTAGCGATTCTTGATGAAGCCGTTCGAAAAGGGCTTGCTCAGGCGCTCCGACACGACGGCCGCCGCCGTGTTGCTCGTCTCGGGGACCGGGATGATGACGTCGATCTCCTTGATGCCCTCCTCGCCCAGCACCTCGCGCAGTTTGTCGGCCAGCTTGGCGCCCATGTTCTGCCGGCTGGTGTTGATCGAGATGCCGTCCATGATGGTGTCGGGACGGGCGAAATAGACGTACTCGAAGATGTCGGGCGAGTACGCCTGCGCCTCGGCGACCTGGTGGAACTGCGGTGTGCCACCCTTCTGGATGAACACTGCCTGGCCGGGGAGGATGTCTTGGAAGTTGCGGAACCCCAGTTGGCGGAGGGCAATACTCTCCGACGCAAGCATGTAGTCCGTACCACCTTCGATCGTGGCCGACGGCCGGCTGCCCATGATCAAGGGGCGAATGCCGAAGGAGTCGCGGAAAGCGAGAATACCAAAACCCGCAATCATGGCTGTGGCAGCCCATGCGCCCTTGCAGCGCTGGTATGTCTGGGCCAGGGAGCTGAAGATGTCATCGACGTTGACGCGGGCCTTACCCGTTTCGTTGAGGGCGTTGGCGAAGACATTGAGCATCAGCTCGCTGTCCGAGTCGGTGTTCACATGGCGGTGGGCCTCCTTGTCAAGGTAGTCTCGCAGCTCGTTCGCATTGATCAAGTTGCCGTTGTGCGCAAAGCAGATGCCATAAGGGGAATTGACGTAGAACGGCTGGCTCTCGGCGCTCTGGAGGGGAGGAGTCAGCTTGAGCACACAACAACAACCGACATACAAAGAAACAAGACATTGAAACCTACCGAACTTGTTCCCGCAGTCGGATACCGCAAGTGGGCAATGCCCATGTACCCGGGCAAGTCGGAGACACGCTTGCCATCCTCAAACACCTTGGACGCCATGCCATTGCCCTTGCACTGGAAGATGCGCCCGCCAGTCGCGCAGGTCGCAACACCACAAGCATCCTGGCCACGATGTTGGAGGTAGTAGAGACTCTCGTGCAGGTCGACGGCGGCATCGGCGCTGGACGAGTCGGCCAGGATAAGACCGAGAATGCCGCACATGTTGCCGGTTCCTTTTGTGGAGGGGGGTATCAAGTCAACAATAACAACAAGAAAACACACAGAGAACGAATTGGATCGAAAGAGCAACTCTCTCTGTTTGTTGGGTAGTTCCCGAGGTGGGAGAGGGAATTCACACAGGTGTGGGAGGAGAGTGCCGAAGTCGGTCACAGGCTTGTTTGTTGACCACGCGACGAAAGCACACACGGTTCCTTCGCTAGTGAGTGGCAAGAGAGAGAGATGGGGGATCGGACGAAGAGAGGCCTAGAACAACAAGCCGTCAGGAGACAATGGTAGTTCGCCGCCGTGGGAGAAGGGCCAAAGGCAACAGGCGGTGGCAAAGACAACCCGAATATGCTTCCATTTTTCTAAAAGTTAAGAGTGGTTTTTCGGTTGCTGGAGACCGGGCACCGGCATCCCTCCATATATGGCGGGGAAAATTTTCTGGAGGGGCACGTTCGCTGCGGGGCAAGCTGCAGCGTGCATGCTGTGGCGCTGGGGAATCAAGATTGTTGCTTGGCAAAGCGTTATCCAGCTTATCCGTTGGTTGCCGCTGCAACGGTTGCCGGTGCCCGGAACAAACCCAGGTTACAGTGGGTTCCGGAAGGAGACCGGAACCTGAACAGAACCTCGAGGCTCAAAGTGACATGGCACTTGCACCACAACATTCATTAACCTTAATTCAACAATGGGTTACCTCATTATCAGAGTGTTAGGTTAGGTTATGTGTATTCTGGAATAACCCTACATTGAATGCCTACATAACATTACCAAATCCCAAATAAAGGGTGCCGATGAACTGCCTAGTTACCCATCCAGTCCTTGACCTTGCCATGTCGTTGCCCGGCCTTCCGGGCATGGCACTGTCCTGTCAAACCCTGCCTCCTGACTAGGCTCTTAGTAACAACCCCCCTCCCCTCACGCAGTCATCCCAGGTAATATGCAACAATCTAGGCCGTTTAGACAAAGGCGCTGTTCCCGGCCCTCCACACCAAGAGAGGAAAAGAGGAAGAGGGAAAATAGAGAGTAGGTGAATCTCCCAAAACGCCTATTGATGCCGTGGGAATTGCAAAGGAATCCAGTCCCATTCCCAATTTCAGCAAACTAGGGCGCTCAAACCAACTCAGCCAGAGCTTTGGCCCGGTTCTCTTCGATCGCTTTGACAAACGTCTCGTAAGGGGTCAGCGTGCCCAGGGCCCGGCGCATATGACCGTTGACGATCTGCAGGCCGTAGATGTAGCTGGCGTTGACCCAACCGAAACTGTCACTTGGTTAGCATCTTTGAAACAATTATCCACTTGCTTGCTGCTAGGTGGTACTCACCCCTCCTTAGCCACGCCCTTGAAATCCAGCCCCTGGTTTCCATACTCGGCATCGACGCGGTGGGGATCGATGGGCCGTGTGACGTCGTATTTCTCGACCACAACGCCGTTGAAGTCGACAAAGGCCTTGGTGATCATGAAGAGCCACTTGTACGCGAGCCGCTCCGCCTCGTCGGTGAAGCTGTAGCGGTACAGCCCGGTCCAGGCGAGCATCTGTTGCGGTGCCCAGCCGTAGGGGTAATCCCACTGTCGGTTCGGTCTATCGAGGCCAATCTCGCCGCGGCTTTCCTTAGTGCCGGACAGCAAGCCCCCATAGGCCTCGAACCGCGGTAACGCCTTGGTCACCATGGCGGCAGCCTGCTTGGGGCTGCTGACGCCCGCCCAGAGGGCCCAGAAGGTGGTGGCGCTCTCGTAGTCGCAGCGCTGGCGCTTGGCGGTGTCGTAGTCGAAGTACATGCCTGCTTCCTCGCTCCAGAGGTACTTGTCAATGGCCAGCTTGCGGCGCTTGGCGCGGCGGTCCCAGATGGCCGATGTCTCGACGTGGCCGGGCTGCATGTCGCCGACGCAGTACTCCGCCGGGATAACCAACTTGTCGCCAAACACGTTGCGGATGGTGCGCCCGATGTCCGACTCGTACTTGAAAAGCAGAGAGTTGAGATCGATGGTGGCCAGATCGGCACACACGCCCTCGAGGCGGTACGAGGTGTCATGGCCCGACTCACGCACGGCGCGGTCGTGCATGAAGTAGTCGTCCAACTTGGGCTCCTTGATTTTGCCCGTGTTGTACGCCTCGACGAACTCGTTGAACGTGACACCGTGCTTCGCGACGTACGGCTCCAGAATGTGGAAGAAGTGGTCGGCCTCCGTCTCGGGGGGGACGCCGAGACCTTCAGGCCTGTACCGAGAGAGGCCGGTGACCGGGTCCAACCGAGGTTCCGCCACCCAAACGCTGTGGTA